GTGCCAGGTTTGGTTATTTGTAGTGATATACTTGACCAACAAGCTGAGTGCTATAAAAGTGAATTCAACGCTGCAGATGACGATCATACGAAGGTATGTATTTACATTTACCATAAGTTTAGTAGCACAAATTTTGCTTAATAAGGCTAGTTTTATTCGATTTTTTAAGGGCAAAAAATGTGATGAATACTTATCGACTGAACGGATTGATGCTACAATTTTCATAAATATGCGCGGATATGATAACCTTACTCAACTATATTGTTGTTTGTAACATTTTCGATTATTTTCGATAATAAATAATCATTTGCAAGTATATTTAATTACTGTATTTTTTGTGTAGATATTTTAAACACTTCACGACCGTTTAATGAATCTCATGGAGTAAATCCTCTTGTATTTGATAATTCGACCCAGAAAATTGCCATAGTATTATGGTCAAGTAAATTAGCTAACAATACAGTAAGAATACAGCATTTATATTATGGAATTTTTGTATATAATCCTTGTAACTTTCCTAATTTTTGAAACTGTAAATTTTTACTATCAAGAAATTAGGAATGACTGAAGATCATTGGTTCATGTTCGGAACATTCACTGAATCAGAAGATTATAGGTATATTAAGTTTCAAATTGTCAAAATGGTGATTATTTAATTTAAATTTTCGAAGAAAATAAATGGACTATGTGATTCGTCATATGATAATTAATTATGCATAATTTTATAGCCATCTATATCATATTTATATTTCAAGAGAATAGAAAAGTATGGCATCGACAATAATGATATTTTAACCGGTGGTACAACTGGGCAAACCATTCAAAAATCTGTCGAATTGGATAAAACGTTTACAAGTTTTGCTATAGCTGGATTTGCACTTAGCCCTAATCTTTGGGGACTTTTCAGAATTATTCCAGAAGAATATGTTAAGAATGTGAAAATAAATGCTCAGGAATATCCTGTAGAACATTGGAATGACCGAATAGAATTTACACTTTTTCAACTTACTGCCAACATGGGAGGTTTCCTAAGCGTACTTAGTATTATTTATCTTGTTCTATTTGGATCACGAAGAATAAATCCCTGGGGTATTGTTCAACGTCATGTAGGTATTTTTTTTAGATTAATTTATCGATTAATTTATTATTTATTAACTTTTTGACAGTTACTTAAAGTAGTGCCTTCCACTCACTCCGCAACGGCTGAGACCAATGATCCACAAACTCAGGAACGCCATTCTTTCGAGAAAACATGTATTTTATCAACATCAACTGCAAATACGGATGAGCCGACCATTCAACAGATAAAACAGGAATTGCGTGATGAAATGAAAAGTGAAATAGTGAAATTAAGAGAGTTTCTGAGTAAACATTATCTCAAAGATATCGATAGGTACCAAGTAGTATAAATTCCATTGTAAAACTAAGTGCATTTGGGAATGTTGCGTTGCAATTTAGAGAATTATATAGTCGTAAATGCAAGTTTCATATCTCTTTGCAAACTTGTTGAACTCCCAAAATCGATATGTATGGTGTGCAAGTTTTATAATTGTATTGAAAGGTTATCAGATTTGAAAACTTATAAACTATTGGATTTATATAACAGAAACTTATTTAGTAGATTAATTTTTTTTATCAGATTTAATAAGTTATCGTTTTAGCAGAATCAGTTTGGGAGGTTCAATAGTACTTCATTCGCATAGTTAAAATCATCATCGGCATGTAATAATCTTTATTTTATTCTATTATTAATTTATAAATGATTATTGCAAAGTGGAAGCTCTTACCTGTATTTAATCATTTGCAGATTTTCAATTTGCAATGCTCAAATTTTAAAAGATTATGGTTTAGCATTGTAAGAAAAGGCGAGTCCTTCAAGTTTTATAAATAAAATAAGAGCACAAGACTCGATCTAAATATTTTGCATTTCATAGAATTGGCAAACTGCACATTTTTGTGAACCATATGTATACACATACGTTCAAATTACGTA